GAAAAAGAATAAAGTACTTTCTCAACACCAAACCGTTTTAGAATCAGCCGGCCTGTGCTGAATTATTCGTGCTAATGAGCATAGAAGTCTGTACTAAAAACTTACTGTCAAATATAAACAGACAACCTTGAAAATCAAACATCACTTCCCCAGGAGACATGATAAGGTTTGTCTTCCTCACCTGCTTGGCCTCAGTATCTGCTTTGCTCATGTCATTCTTGCAGGTCATCATCTGCCCGGCCAGTGTGGCCTCCTCTCCGTCCTCATTGGTGGAGAGGCCAGCGGACACCGCCCTGAAGTGCTGCTCAGCTGCCTCCAGGGCTGCACCGTCCTTCTGTCCCTCGTCCTGTAGTGTCTTGAGCTGCTCCGTCCATGTAGAAACCTCCTTTTCTTTTACCAGAAGCATTTTCTTGTCCTAAGGATGAGGAAAACAACAGCTGATCAAGATCCTGGAACCTTCACTTTTGCAGATAGCCTTTGTTGTAAGGGATTTCAACGTGCTAAAAGAAAAAACAATTCAAAGGAGAAAAAAATGTAAATTTTTCCAGTACCTCATCCATACTCTTGACAAGTTCCTTCCTCTTCTTGGTTTCATCTGTGACATTTTGTTTTTTCAGGTCAAGTGCACTCTGAGCTTTTGCATCCACACGCTGCATGTCGGCTAGAGTCTCTTCCAGGGTCTTCAATACCCCGCTCACCTCCTACAAACAGCACATAAACATCAAATACAAAAGCAATGACACAAGATACTTCTTCTTAGAGCTGCTCGGTTATGGCAAAAATCATAATCTCGATTATTTGGGTCAATAATTGATATCATGATTATTAAAAAACGATTATCCATTTACTTTGAAAACATCAATTTATTGGAGAACAAAAATGTGAACAGTGTGTTTTTAACAGTTGATTACCCTGAACTTTAAGTATAACTAAACGAAAAAATAAAAAATTAAATTAATAATAAAAAAATAATCTCTATATTTCCATTACGTTGTTTTCGTCATCGTTGCAAGCCATGATCGTAATTGCGATTAAAATACGATGAATTGAGCAGCCCTACTTCTTCTACATTAAGGTTGGATTAAAACGTTAAAATACAAAAAATGCATTTTGATGAGCGACAGATCATTTTGAACACTTCTTTCATTACAGCTAAGAGGGTCACTCGGGAGAAAGGATTCAAAAGTTCAACAAATCTACTCAGGACTAATGTTGGAAATAGAATCAGTCTACCTGGTCTCTTTTCTTCTGCAGTTCATGAATCTGGGCGGAAAGCTCCTGGACTTTGCTCTCATTCTCAGCCATGCTTGCTTGCATCTTGGTGATGTTGTCCTGCATCACCTTCAGATTCTCGGCTGACTTCACCTTTGTTTCCTCGGCACACACAAACAGCCAGGCCACGTAGAGCCGGGACAGGTGCTGGATCTCACGCATGAGCTTCTGGTACTCCAAGTATGATGATCGCTCCTGCAGAGGGAGGAAGAGTTTGAAAAAAGAAAGAAATGGTGTTAATAAAAACATCTTGTTTCCTAGATAATGCAACAACAATGCATATTGATTTTGCAGTGAACCTACCTCTTGGAGTTTGTTCATGGTTGGAGTAATTTCCTCATCCAAAATCTTAAGAGTAAAGAAAGACGAAAAGAAGATTAGGAAAACAATTTTTTAATGTACAGCCAGTACATAATTGACATTGAAGCAGCTTCCCAGGATGAACAGAGATACATTGGTTAAAAATAAGTGTTAGTTTCTGACATACTGTCTGAATCTCCTTCAGCTTGGCCTCCTTCTTCTCAATGGTTTTCTGAGCGCCAAGCTTTTTGCATTCATACATCCTGGTTCCCGCTGCCTCTTCAATCATGGCAAGGATCTGAAAGCAAAAGGGGTTATTGGACGAGTTGAAAAAAGGCAGGAACAGTGTATGGAATAGTACAGATGGTGAGATTGTTGACAACGTGTGTATGCTTTACCTCTGGTGGCTTCATGTTTAGAACTTTGGTGATCCTTCCCTACATTTTTGGAAACAGCACATGATATTAAATACTGTAGAAGTGCTACAAAGTACGAACACAACCATGCTGCACAAGACTGACCTGCATGATGAGAAAATGTGGGTTGTTTACGTTGAGGCCAACAGAGCAGAACAAGTCCTGCACCCTGGTGTTGTTGGCATTGACTCCATTGATGAGGTACTTGTTCCTGCCACCAATTACCACCTTAAAGGAAGATTTATGACAAAGTTTAAGTGTTGGAGTTGTACCCAATAACCTTGTTTAACCAATTAGAGAGCATTTTGTATCCATTTGTTTGCCAACCTGTCTGGTGATGGTGATCTCATCATGGGTTTCGAACCCCAGAGGACTCTGGCTTTTATTGGAGTTGTCAAAGGTAATAGACACAGTGGCCTTAGTGATGCCACCCTGTCCGTTCTTGTACACCAAGTCCTGGAGGTTGGAGGCTCGCACCTATCAAGTGAAAATTAAAGAAGAATTCTTGAGATTTTGTAGTAGTACATAGAGAAAAAGAAAAAATGTAATTCTTACTTTTTAAATCAATATTTAAAAAGCAAACTGAGAAACACCAATATGATTTTTCTATGCAATGCATACTATTTGTATACATTTGTAGTTTTTGTATGTTCTTAATTTGTACATTTTTGTATTTACACATAGTTATGTCTTTACCCACATATATGTTTTATGTTTGCCATTTGTGTTTGCTGTAAAGCCTAATTTATTCTCTTAAACCTTTATATGGATCAAATTGCTTGATGTACGTCTTAAAATTAGGACCACAGAAATAAAGATAGAGGACTAGATAGATACTTTATTTATCCCAAATTGGGAAATTATTTTGTCACAGCAGTATTTTAACAGTCAATCTACAGGAATTACAAAATTAATTAAAAAAAATAGAAGAAGATACCAATACACACATATTTAAAAAAACAATATATACATAAAATATACACTAGAATACTCTCTAATAATATACTAATCTACCGAACATATGACAAAGTACAGTAGCTTGAAATTAAAAGTAAATCCTACTTCCGCCAAACCAAACTCTACAACAAGGCCAAGACTCAGCAACATTTAGCACAGAACTTTGAATCTGATAGCACACTTACATGGCTGAGGTTGGTGATACCCAAAAGGAAACAAATAGAGTCCAAGATATTGGACTTTCCGCTGCCATTGAGTCCTGTGATGGCGTTGAACAGCGGGTCAAAGCCGTTGATCTCTGTCCTCTGGGCGTAGGATTTGAATCCTTCAAGAATAATAGACTTGATGTGCATCTTGAGGCTTCAGTCCTCTTCCCGCACGCACACTCCGGAGGAAAGATTTGCGGTTCTTTGAAAACCAAATCGGTAACTTAAAAGTTGAAGCACTAGGTAAATTGCCCAGTGTTTACAACCGTCAACAGGAAAACTCGCTCCTCTCTCTTCTCACTTGAATTTTGGCGGCAGGTAAGGACCCGCTAGGCTGTCCTCTCTGTGCCGGGGACGGGACGAAACATACATAGATAATCTTTACACGCTTCGTGCATATTGTTGATGTATTAATCAATACATTCATATAACCGATTCGCAGTCTAAAAATAATATGCCAAGAACATACCTACATTTATCTTTAAGTCTATTTTCGTCAGGCATATAATAGGCGACTAAATGCTCCGTGTCTTGTGTAGCAATGTTTTGGCGCCATCTGTAGGTAGTAAGCTGAACTACAGGTAGAGGAAAAAATAATAGGTTCAAATTAATAGTATTGCTTTCAACTAACCAAACACAATTATGTGGGGCCTGTTGACATAATACATTTAATTAAAGTAAAATGTTTATGTCTACCATAATGTATATAACACAGATTTATATATTAGTCATGTCTAACAATCCCAGTTTCTCGACAGAAGAAACGTGAGCAATTAATTCATATTTCTAAATGTACAACTTTTAAACATATATGATTTGTATAAAATATTTAAAACTAAACATTTTCAAATGGGCTAAAGCGATAAGATTATTTAGATAATTACAATTTTTCAGCAGACCTCAAAGATTTTTGTTTTTGTTATTCTTCTTTCCTGTCCCTATAGGCCTACATTTTATTTTCGGTCAATTTTGGTTTCAATATGCCTGAGTGCATATACACAGTTTCATCGTTTTATAAATAATAATAACATCTGGGGGTATTATAGTGTATAACTAAACCCTTTACTTCTTTGTGGCCCAAATGTTTTAAAGATATGGTTTGATATGGAACAAACCAGGGGTGTCACAACTACGGCCCAGGGGCCAAATGCGGCCCCGCAGGCCATTTTGAATCGGCCCTCAGCAAATTCAAAAAGTATAATGGAGTATGGCCCAAAAATGAAACTTGTGTTTGTCTTGTATTGTACTTGAAAACAGATATTACACAGTATTCATGTGTTAAGAAGCCCACTCTTCAAACAAATTCAGTCAATTAAAGTTGAAAACATTTTCTATCAAATCTAAGTTGATAAGAAAAAAGCCCAATAACTTATTTTCATTACACCCTTGAAATAAACCCTTCATATTTCCTCTCATGCAATCTGAGGCTCCTGTTTTAAGGAATAAGCTGCTAACAAAATTAATGAAACCCTATGGAGAGCTGTGATAGGCTGCTGTTTTCCTTAAAGCATATTCAAGCATTAAGCATCATTTACCTACATTTTATTGATTTAGCTGGCTTTTAACTTAACTTATGAGGCAATATACCTCACGGTAGTGGCCCAGCCCTTCGTATATTTGTATGTGGCCCTCTGTGAAAAAGGTTTGGACACCCCTGGAATAAGCCCTTAAATATACACAAAATATGAGTATATTTGAATTTTAAAGAATATAATGTTCCCTCAGGATGTTAAAACTCTGAATTCCCCCCTCCTCAAGTTAGTTGCCAAACTGAAGTCATGTGGGGAAAATAGGGCACAACAACTCAGAGAAAGGTAAGAAATGTGTAGCTATTTTATTTGTTCTCAATTTGAAATGGACATTTATACAATAGCACTGAGAAAAGAATACTTTCAGGGATAAGTCATGAAATTATCACAGTACAGGATTGTACTTTCGAAAAAAACACTTAGCGCCCTAAAACTTGCATTTGCCATGAAGATACATTCAGCAGAGTATTGATGCAAAAGACATTTCATGGTAAATAAGCCCTTTTGTTGTAACAGATTCCACAATACTACACCCATTTCACACTTCCTTCTCAACACATGTTTTTACACACATACACGTTAAATGACACACACACAATCATTGCGTCATTCCATTATGCATCCAGAGGCACGGGACACATGGACAGACAAACCAAATTTAAAGCATAGAAGCAAATCTGTGTTAGCACAACACAGTCTCCTCTGTTAGAGTAGAAGGCGGTGGGCGTGATGTAGGCCCAGTCAAAGTTCCGCAGGTTTAGTGGCTTCTGGCAGTGCTGTTCGCTGAGAGCAAACAGGGCACGCACAAACGAATATTTGGCCGAGCAGCTGACGGCCGTCACTGTACGGACCTTGTCAAAGTGCAGCAGGAAACAGGGGTCATCCTGGAGACACAAAAGGACAAAGCATTAGCTAAGTGAAAAGAGAAATAAAAAGCCTTCTGTTAATCTATTTTAAAACCAGAGGTAATACAATTATTTAAAAGAAAACCGTGTTCCCTCAATTAAAATGAAATGTGACAAGAAACTATTGGCAAATTGACGTACATTTAAAAGGGAATGTATGGCCTGGTAGGCAATGAAAGCATAAATATGCGATAATGTTTTTGATAAACATTTCAGCAGAATTCCAGCACATTTTGTAACAAAAGACTTTCCACGTCAATAAAGGCTTTCCGAGAGATGTCATTAATTGATCCCCAGCTGGGAAACTTGAAACCATTATGGAGTTTGAGTTAAGATGTGTTTAATCAAGTCCAGATAACATGTTACAAATTAAGATAATTGGTGGTTGTGCATATAAAACTTTTAGGATTATATATAGTAATCGTTTGTATAGAAAACAATGGTAGATAATGCAGAAATTAAAAGCAAATGTGATAAAATTGTTCATTACCACATCAGCATCCCGTCCGTCAACAAGAGTCAGGTCCTGCAGGGACCAAACCTCCGCCTTCCTGTAGCACTCCTGTATGCTGGAGCGTTCGGTGTGGGACCCTTTGGATCCAGACTTCAGGGCCGTCTGAGATATCTGACATCGCACTATACATAACTGCACTAATTTCTTTTTAGCAACTACAAAAAGAAAAACAACAAATGTTTTTGTTGGTATTTTTACACATAAATAGGCACAATGCAGCACCAGACATCCATCTGCAGCAAAAACATAACCTTGACTTCTCAGGCCTCATAGGCCAGGCAAAGTACACATTCAGTAGATTTCCCTACAGATTATCTACAGCAAGATATTGGTCTGTACAACCTGTAACAGAAAATTCCACTCAGCATGGTTGATCCTTAAAAATGATTTCATAAGAGAACCTGTTAAAAAGCTTTTTACCTGAGACACAAAGAAAATGTCTTCCGTGTGTTGGCTCTTCAATCTCAATATACTCCACCAGTGACTGTTTTGAAGGTCGGAATAAAACTCTCTGCATCTCCTCCCTCAGAAGAGACGACATCACTGGAAAGAGGAGGAAGATCAGATGGTGAGAAAAAGCTCAAAACAGAAGCAATAAGCAGGAAAGACACAAGAGAGATGAGAAATTCCAAGGGATCACTGAAACCTGGCAGTGGTGGGATGGGAGGCGCTTTCCTCTTGTCAGACCACGTGAAAAGTATGTGGTTGTGTGTGAAATGAGCTCCCTCTCACACACACACTCCAGTGTGGGGCGTTCCATTTTTGATGGTATATATGTTGATGTTTCATTAAAGTACTGCCTTCATAACAACTCGAGAATCCAGAAGGGATTTATTAGAAAGGTTGCAATCAAAGGCCAATCGCTTCATAATTTCATCCTTTTACTGCTTCAATTAAGATCCATTAAGAAGATGATCCTGATGTTTCCTGCAAATATGGATTTTAGTCCTGAAATTGTGTTTACTTTAGTGAGTGTCATAAAAATACAAACAGTATTATCCTGGTATTATGTAGTTATAGTCTTCCTCAAAGCACATATACAGTCTCTTTCTTTCCGTCTCTCTGTCTCCACTCACTCACATATAGATGTTGATATATAGTGTGGCAAAGCGCCCAATGTTTGTCTGTGATTAAATGTTGTTGTGTGGGAAAAGGATGTCCCACAGCACTCTGCATGGTTTCCATTACCAATTCAATCTCTGAGAACAGGTACAAGTGGGGTAAAGCACTTAAATGGGAGGATTTTACAAGCACATAAAGTATACTACACTTCTTTAGGGACCATGGCTCCATTAAAATATATGCTAAAGTAGATGCACTGTTAAAAAGAACAGAATAGTACAGAGAGGAAAACAAATCAGTTCAGTTTGTGAGAGGCGGATTGAAACAATGTGGGAATACTTTTCCATAAACAAACCTCAGAATGAACCAGACCAAAGCTCTGATTTGATTTGTATGAAAGAAAAAGTGTGTCCATTGGATTTGTCACATTTGTGAAAACAAAGATGGGTTGCTCCATAGCTAAGTGCTTTATTGTAGTTGTTGTTGTTGTTGTTGTTGTTGATGGTTTCTGCGGGTGTTCATTGGAAAGGCATTATACCTCTGAGATGGAAAGATGAGCGGATGAGCACGAAGTAAGTAGCAGAGGAAATATACAAGTGTTGAATAACACATGAGGTTTATTGTACTTACTCAATCTTCAACCCCAGCATGTTTGTTCATGAGCATTAAAAGGATTCTCATTTACAAGAGTTGCAGGAATCCCAAAATAGTCACAGGAGTAGTATTGTAATATGTTGGAATATATTTAATATTGATTCAATGGTAAGGCTTCAACGTGTCTGTATTTTTTAGACAGTAGTGTGCTTGTCATAAAGCATTCCCATAATCCATGACTTTGTTTAGACCTGCAGGAGAGTAGCTATAAACCAAACATACAGCAATTGTAATACATAAGGCTATATGGGAGGGGGTTAGAAAGAGAAGGACGTGTGATTTGAAAATGATTAAGAGGAGGTGTATCAGTCAGAGAACCTGGCAGCAAGGATGAAATTAAGATCTGAGTAACACTGTAAGGATGGATAACGTTGGGGAAGAAAGAAGAGGATGAAATTATGAAGAATAAAGAAAGGGAAGAAGTATTCAAAAATGATGAAGAAACAGGAACATCAGAAAGGATGGAGAGCAATGACACGGCAATGGGGAAAAGGAGAAGGAAGAAAACATTAAGGATCGTCAAAAAAAAGAAGGAATAAATATGAATAACAGGAAGCGGTGCTGAGTGCAGGGGTTGTGGAAAAAAAGACAAGAAAAGGGGTTATTCATAAGTCGTTAACGGCTAATCCGAACAAATCCAAAGAGAACTGAAAATGATGACAGAGAAAAGAGGAAAAGCGAGGGGGCAGGCTGAGTTCACAGAGAGGAAGGAAATGGGGGAGGGAGAGAATCTACAAAGGTGTGGAGGAATTATGGGTCCATGCAGGAGTAAAGACTGAATGAGGATGGCACTGTTATTAAACTCAAGGAAAATAACACCAGTGTGATTTCGGTGAGATTATGAACATGGTGGTCCAAAATTACAGAGGGGGTGCCAAAGCACCGGCTCTCAGAGATTTGGAAGCACTCATTTAATTTTAATCACCAAGAATCCAAAGTAAAAGGATTTTGTTTGCTTAAACTAAAGGAAAAAACTAACACTAGTGTGATTTCGGTAAGATTATGACTATTCTGGTCAAAAGCTACAGAGGCGATGCCAAATCCGGCAGGACTAACACCAGCTATCCCATCATCATTTTGGATTGCTGACTTGGGAAATTCCTAAAAAAGGACATTTCTGTAATAGCTTTTCCTTTCACAAGAAAATATAACAATGTTTTCCTAAATGCTGTCAGGAAACATGTTTATGTTGTGCCCAGGGACGGACTGGGACTACAAATCAGCCCGGGACTCTCGACCGGCCCACTTCGGTACCGCCGGCCCACCGCGGTACCGCAAGTAAATACCGCTAGTAAATTGTCGACGGGGCCGTTGGAATTGTATTATCACTGGCCCCACCACTGGCCCGGAGCATTCGTCCAAAAAAAAAAATCGACTAATAATGAATAAAATTAACACATTTGTTGCAATAGTAATTTATGCACTGACTACATTACTACTTGTACTACAACCTTTGAAACATCAGTTCTTCCTAATTTTCCTCAATTGTTCATATTTGGTTTATTAAAATAATGATACTGTGGTCATTGTTTAAAAATGTCTGCTATTATTATGAGTATTATTTGTATAATGCACTTTCTGCCTTCCTGTCATTAGGAGTTAGACATGTAATGGCTATGTAATTGATTTGATTAGAACCTTCATTATCCTAAACTGCTGGCACATTTCGCAAATACCTTTATATTGTCTACTCTTCACTTACTTGTCAGCATAGGTCGGTATTGATGTACATTGTACAGAGCCGACAGAAGACCTTGTTTATATTGGCATTGGAGAGGTGCAGTGACGCGTCATAAAACCAGGAAGTAAGCTGCTGGTTCCCTTGACAAAAAGCAATGGGATTTCTCCATAGGGTTTTGGAAAATAGCTGGAAATAAGGTCTGTGGAAAACAAACCTGTTTGATAAATGCACATTTTGTTCAGCCGGATAATCTCCACGTTTTGTTACCCTATTTTTATAATTTTCGAATCATAAATCTAATCGATAGATTATAAAAAGGGTTTTAGGACGCGTTACAGTGTGGCTAAAACCTTCTCTCCCTCTTCTTCTCATGCTCCCTGTCACTCTCCTTTAACTCCTCCGGTGACTTTCTTTTATTTGAAGATTGTTTTTTGCCCGGCGCTTGGCCAGTTACCGCTGGTATTAAAAAAATGTTGGCGAATGGTTAGGTGGCGCGATAGTCTGTAGTGAAGGAGCGCGCTCCCGTTCACGGGAGCCTGCTCGCGCTGCGCTCCGCAGCAAACAGCTTTTTGCTTTTCACCCAACAACGACAACCGACTCACGGAACGCTATGTTCTAACGTTAATAAACGAAACAATTTAACAAAATTGCTAGTCAAAATACCAATACCACAGCAATATTTTTAGTGGCCCGAGCGGGCAAGTGGAAAGTACGTTATGCTGGCCCGGGGTGTCTAAATAGTGCTTCCGGGCCAGCGGGCCATTTATAATGTCGAGCCCTTACCGGCCGGCCCACATCGTCCGACCGGCCCACTTCAGTACCGGCCCATCGGGATTCGTCCCGAACGTCCCGATGGCCAGTCCGCCCCTGGTTGTGCCCATAAACCTGGATGTTATTCTGAAGTGACAAGAAAGGATTTCAGACTTAAACGTTTCAGTAATGAAGCCTCTGAACAATATACTTAAAACGTAATGCATTAAATATGAGCAAAGGACTCTAAATGCACTTCCACTAAAAAAATATGAACAATTTATTAGTAGCTATTGTACTGTGGCAGATATAGATAAAGAAAAGTTGACATTACTTGTTGTAATGTGTTTTGACATCAATGTAAACACACACAAACACAAGGATTGTGGAAGTTGATTTACCCACACAGCCACACAAAACGTATAACTTTTCTGATAATGGCCTCATATCATTTAAATTGTGCTGCACTGATGTAATAAGATGTGTATATTCTACTGTAGCAGGAGGACTGGCACAGGTAAAAACTCCAGGTCTGTTATAGGCTACACACATTTGGCAACAATTAAGCTATTGCTTTGGATTTAGTTTTAAGATCAGGAGTTGTCTGTACCCGACCAGACTCCTCTGTCATCTCTTTTTAAATATTTTTTATGAATTTTTTCATCCAGAAATATATTGTAAACTCATTATAATCAATAATGCACTATGATTCACGTCGATACAATGGATGTCAACAACAATCACATCGTCGTTTGAAGAGAATGTGAAATTCACATCTAATCCGTAATTCAAAGGTTTCTAAAGGTCCACAGGTTCAATAATATTAATGTTGGGGAACCACTACACAATATAACGTCACAGCCTATAGAGCTCCTGATTGGTTTTCAATGAAAGGGGAAACCCCCTGCCATCCGGAACGCAGGGCCATCCTTACCCTGCCTGCAACCTTCTGACTACCGTCCAATGTCACATTCACAGCCAACTCAGACACTATAACATTATGTATTTCCCGAAAAATAATACGGTGGTGTTAAATATGCATATTAGTAAAATTGTGAATATAAATAAAAACAAGGTGGCATTGAATGCATTTTAAGTAGTAGGCCTATCTATTTAAAGGGATATATATCCTTTTCGGCATAGTATCCGCCATGCTCGGTTTAGGTGCATTCATTTGCAAGCCAGGACGCACGACCTCAATCTTCCTTTTATTTTCTATCATAAAAAAAACTATATGGCACTGACAGTCGACTGGTCTGACTGGGAAAGCGAGAAAAACAAGCGGAGTCATTTCCCCGGTGAAGATCACTCAGCGTTCTGCTGCTAGTGTACTGTGCTAAATAGTGCGCCCTACTGTCTCCATTGCGCATGACTGTACGGCGTGAAGTAGGCCTCCTGTTTTTCTCCCCAACCCGGAGTCCTCCGAGCCCCCACCGACTCGATGCAACGTTCAAGTAAGCAAAACACGGAGGCTGCTGTCGATTACTCAGGAAGGTAAGCTTAATATTAAATGCATATAAAAAGCCAGCGGTATTTATGGAATAGCACAGCCGCGGTGGT